CCCCAAAACCCCAAAACCCCAAAACCCCAAAACCCCAAAACCCCAAAACCCCTAATCAAAACCCCGTCATTGAAACTTTAGATATTGTAAATTTGAAATACCAAATCTTATAAACCCAATATCCCAATTATTCTTTAATCATATAATTGGCAAGCTCAGTTTGTCCAAACCGAGTCTCAAAAGGGCTTAGCAGTGTTTATCTGAGATTATTCTCCCTAAAGTTTAACTATGCTGATAATTAAATTAACAAAGTTTAATAAAGCCTTTTTTTATTTCTGTTACTTTAAATTGACCTGATGCTTTTGGTTATTCTTCAGAGATTTTTAAGGAATAAATTAAACTGATGATGTAGCTTATATCGTTTGGGGTTATGGATTTTAAAGAGCTAAGAGTGGAGAGAAGATGTATTTTTATTTAAGTTTTGAAACATTTTTATTCGGTTAATTTTTAGATTGAAGGATATTGCTTTCATATATTATAAAGCTGTTTTTGTGGGATTTTAGAAATTAATTTATGATAGCATTTTTTATTATCTCCAATAAAAATAACTTCAAAACGCAATAAAACCTTCTCTCAAAACCAATAAAGCCAATATCATCACCAAAATCTACCCCTCTCCTCCTTCAACTAATCCCTTCCCCAACCACCCACGCGCTTCCCCAAGCATCTAAACACCCCCCCAAAAACTCCCTTTGAACCCTCCAAACTTCTCCAAAGTCACCAGCAGAGACCAGCCTCTTCAACAATAACGATAACTTAGCCTACGTCTGCAGGCAGGATTTAAGCGTTTTAGGAAGGAATTTAGAAGATTTTGAGTATAATTTAACTGGGCCTGGGCTGGCTAGGTGTAAATATTTAATAGAAATTAACAAATAATTAGGCTTATGGAGACGAGATTTGAAGTAGACAAAGAGTATGGTGAGATAAGGAATAGATCAGGCTTTATAGAGTCGGAGCAGAGAGCTTTGGTGGATCAGAAGATATTTGATCATGGGATTTTAAATGATATTGAAGAGAATTATTCGATATCCTTTTCTCCAACCACAAGTCTCAAGTTTCATTTATTTATGATTTTTAAGGAATTTAAATTGTTTAAGAGGCTTTCTTCTGAAACTATGCCATCTTGAAGAATTGAAAGAAATTTTTGGAATTTTAGAAAAGTTGACAGAAAAGAATTCAAGAAACTTTCAAGATTTATTCAGACATGGAGCTGTTTAGAAAATTGATTTCATTTTAATTTGACATTTTCTCCAACATACAATCAAACTTTACCTCCATTCAGGTATGTATTTTATCATTAAAATTTAAACAAGCTTATTCAGAAGGATCTTCTTCCAGCAAAGCACTTGTTTAAAGTAGACCTAATTTTACATTCAGAATCTGAAAATTTATTTTTATTCCATTGGTTTCTTAAAATATTTAAAACCTTCCTTTCTCTTTAAAAAATAATTAACTTTACCTAAAAATCTATAATTTTCAAAAAAAATCCTTTTACCCCAGAAATCCAATTCTAACATCACTAAAATTTCTTCTTCCCTCTCATCTCACTCAATACAGCCTCTGCAGAAGATCTGTGCTCAAGAGCCTTTGGCCATTCAATGGGACTCTCAAGATCAAGAACTTCAAGTTCGGTAGCAAGGGCCTGAGAGATCTTCTAGTTGCAGCTAGGCATATGACTTCGATCTCTGTGGTGAATTGTGTGCTGCAGGAGCAGAAGTTTGGCAGGAGTTTTTTGAGGAGTGGAATGGGAGGGAAGGTGTGTCTGAAGAAGGTCTTGTTCGTTGGGTGATCAGAGATTGCGAGTTGAGGGAATGAGGAGTCTTTCTGTATGGTAAAGAGTATTATGGAGGGAATTATGGGATCGTGTCTGACAGAGGTATTGGAGAGATTGAGTTTTAATTTTAAAGATGGACCAAGGTTTGAATCTTTGCAGAAAGTTTCAAGTGTTTATGAATGAGATGAACGTCTTGTGGTATCAATAAGACCTGGAATGATGACAATTGATTTCGTTTAATAAATTCTTTTTCCATCTTTTTCAATAGGATTTATTAATGTTGGGGTTTTGGGGTTTTGGGGTTTTGGGG